CTTGCTGGGAAGTTTGTCCCCAGTGTCAGTTTTTCTTATTAGTGTCTTTACTTGTATCATCTCTGTTTTAGACTAGAAAACTGGCAATTTGAAGAATGGGGAAGCCAGGTGACAGTAGTGTCGTCGGACATGCGGGAATGGGTGGCTCCAGAGAAAGCAGACATCATTGTCAGTGAGCTTCTGGGCTCCTTTGCTGATAATGAACTGTCACCTGAGTGCCTAGATGGAGCCCAGCACTTCCTAAAAGGTGCCTCCAACCTGGGGTGTACTGAGTAAGGGGATTGGATTATCAATGGGGAAGGCTGTGGGGATGGGGGAATGGCAGGATTGGGTGAGACAGCAACCTAATAGGAGGTTACAGAGTTTAGGGGGATGAGGGGCTGGAATTGGGCCAGTGCCCTAAGGAAATGAAGTAATCTCTCTGAACCTCAGTGTTCACATCTATAAAATGAGGGCAGTAGCCCTGTCTGGTGTGGCTCAGTTGGTTGAGTGTTGTCCTGTGCATTGAAAGGTCGCTGGTTTGATTCCCAGTCAGGGCACATACCCAGGTTGCAGGATTGATCCCCGGTTGGGATCAATGTTTCTCTCTCCCTCTCCCTTCCTTTCTCTCTAAAATCAATAAAAATTAAAATGAGGCGAATAGACTAGAGCAGAGACACTTAATCTGAGGTTGTGGACTTACTGAGTTGCTGTGATATGTATCTTTGGCTTAGTTTTCATCAAGATCTCAAAGAGTTTTGTGACCTCACAAAAGTTAGCACTCATTTAGAATAAATTAGGGTCCTTCCAGGGTGGTTTTGTTGTTGTTTGTTCATTCTCACCTGAGTGTATTTTTTCCATTGGTTTTTTTTCTTCTTCTTCTCTAGAGAGTGTGAATGGGAGGGATTGGGGTGGGGGGGGGAGAGAATAACATTGATGTGAGGCATTGATTGCCTCCTGCATGTGCCATGCCCATATCAGAGCCTGGGATCGAACCTGCAACCCAGGTACATGCCCTTGACCAGGAATCAAACCTGTGACCATTCGATTGCAGGCCGATGCTCTAATCATTGAGTGGAACTGGCCAGGGCAGTTTTAACCTTGTGTGACTCTGTAAATTAACCCGGAAGTGGAATCCCCTGTGACAGGAGTTGGGAGCGGTTGGCCTGGGGATGTGACAACACTGAGCTGCCTGGGTCTGTTTGGATGTGTGAGTTTGAGCTTTCAGTTCGTACAGATATACCATTTCCATCTCTTCGGAACTAATGTAGCCCTCCTGCACTGCAGATGACGGTGTGAGCATCCCTGGGGAGTACACCTCCTTTCTGGCTCCTATCTCCTCCTCTAAGCTGTACAATGAGGTCCGAGCCTGTCGGGAAAAGGACCGTGACCCTGAGGTAAAAAAACACTCTCTTCTGGAGGACTCCTCTCTTTAGTTCTTTATTTTTCTATATTGGCACCAATTATTTTATTCCTCCGCAGAAGATGGTGAGATAGAGGAGGAGTGGGGGATGTGGGAAAGTGGTCGAAATGAAAGTTTTCATTCTTTTCCATGTCCCTCAGACTTGAGCTTCTTTCCCTGAGGAAGTAGGCATCTCTGACCTATTTTCTCCAGTTCTTGCCCTCTGTCTCTCGGGTCAGGCCCAGTTTGAGATGCCTTATGTGGTACGACTGCACAACTTTCACCAGCTGTCTGCGCCCCAGCCCTGTTTTACCTTCAGCCACCCCAACAGAGGTGGGTTCCTGTGTGTCTGTCCTCTGACTGGGTGCATAAGAGCTTGCCCTCCTAGTTTTTTCCCTTGCTGTCTGGGTCTGCCTTGTCTAAGCTTCCCTTGGTCTTGCTCTTTACCAAGTTGTCTAGGACCTCTGGCCCTTTGTCACCCACACAACTTTTCCCGGACAGATCCTATGATTGACAACAACCGCTACTGTACCTTGGAGTTTCCCGTGGAGGTGAATACAGTACTGCATGGCTTTGCAGGCTACTTTGAGACTGTGCTTTATCAGGACATCACTCTGAGTGAGTTTGGGGCAGTGGACGATGGGGTGTACCATCTGGGCAGCTCATGTACATGTTTCATTTAGAATTACGTGAGCCCAGGAGTCAGAAATGGGGTTCTTTGATTACTTGTTTCAAAGTAATTCAGAAACTTCTCAACCTAGTCAAAAAGCACTGTTATGGAGAACCTCAATTTTTCATTATTTTGTCCCCATAGGTATCCGCCCAGAGACTCACTCTCCTGGGATGTTCTCATGGTTTCCCATCTTCTTTCCCATTAAGGTAGGACTCGCCTTTAAAACTCCATAGGCTCAGGAATAGCTTCAGCTGTTGGGTATGGAGAGCATGTCCTACTGCTCTGGCGTGCTTGGGTCCCAGTTGTAGACGTTGGGATATCTGCAGTGGCCTCCGTGGCTTCCCCACGTCTCCTCTAGCTGCTCTTCTATTTTTTTACCTTAAGTAAGAATCACCTTTTAAAAACTCAGATTTGAACGTATCTCTCTCCTGCTTAAAACCCTTCCCACTGTCCTTAGGGTAACAGTCAAAATCCTGAGCATTACTTGTAAAACTTGGTGTGATTTGGTTTTAGCCTACTGTCCCCTTGCTTACATTGCTTCAGGCCAGTGGAATGGCTTTTGGTTCCTCTGATACACCATCTTCTTTCCTGCCTCAAGTTTTCATTCATTTGCCTGTAAAATTATTTGCTTACTTCTTCACCCAGCTAACTTATTTTCTAGGCTTCCTTGAGCATTCTTGTCATAACTTTCTGACCTTCTAGACTAAGTTAGCATTCCCCCTGTGCATATTCACACACTGATCACATTTTAGATTATTTGCTTAATGTCTGGTTTTTCAATTCTGATTATTCTGATAGATCTCAAATAAACTTCATGAGGGTTGGGATGTCATGTTTTATCATTTTATCTCCATACCTAGCTCAATACATTGCCACATATAACTCATTAGCTGCACCCTAAAATTCCATCTTTCTTCTTACAGCAGCCCATTACAGTACGTGAAGGCCAAACCATCTGTGTGCGTTTCTGGCGATGCAGCAATTCCAAGAAGGTGTGGTATGAGTGGGCTGTGACAGCACCAGTCTGTTCTGCTATTCACAATCCCACAGGCCGCTCATACACCATTGGTCTCTAGCCAAGCCTGCAAATGTCCGGAAGCGGCTTCAGCTTCTGCTCCTATAGCACAGAAGGTGCACTACATCTGTGGGCTGTGATTCCCCTTGCCCATCAGAGAGGAGCATTTCACTCTGTTTTCCTGCCTTACAATCAAGGTGGGCAAAGGAGAATTAATTACAAGGCTCAAGCCACCAATCTGTGACGACTTCAGGCCAAGGCATGAGGAATTAGTGCTAGATCTGAAGCTACTCCAACAGGCACTCAGCCTCAAGCGCTCCCTGGAACAGCCCTGAGAACGTGCAGATTGAACACATTTTCAGCCCTTTCCCTGATCATCTCTCTTTCTGTTTTGTGTGGGAGGAAATGCAAATAAAGTGAAGTTATGGCCTTTCCAGCTCCAACCCTGCTCTCCCTGCCTCTTCTTTCCCAACCTTACTTAAACCTAGACATATTTAGATCTGTGCCCTCATCCAAGACCCAAGAATGTCCATTTGAGAAGCTTAGTGGTGACTCTGGGACTTCTGGGTCTAGGTCTTTCTGATTAGCTACAGAGAGGTCTAGTCTATTAGGACCTGTGATTAGGCTTTTGTCTGGAGAGGAGGCATAATTTGCCACCATAGAGAAAGATGGGGTTGTATATAAAGCCAGCTTTCCTTCTACCTTCCTTAGCTACTGAACTGCCAAACACCTTTGTTACCTCTCGAGAGAGAAACAAAGCTGTCCAGGCATCTCCAGCAAGAAGCCACCCATTTTTGTTGTTGTTTTGTTAATCCTCACCAGAACATGTTATTTCATTGATTTTTTTTTTAGAGAGAATAGGAGGGGAGAAGGGTGGTGGTGGAAAAATAGTGTGTGAGAGACACATTGATTGTTTGCCTCTAGCATGTGAGATGACAGGGCCAGGGATCATACCTGCAACCAGATATGTGCTCCTGACCAGGAATCAGACCCCAGACCCTTCAATGCACAGGCTGATGCTCTAACCACTGAGAACACCAGTCAGGGCAACCTATTATGTTGGAATAAAATCATAGGGTTAAGAGTCCTAAGAGATCATCTAGTCCAATTCTTCATTTTATAGAGGAGGTATTTGAAGTTGGTACAATAATATAAAGTTAGTATTCAAGTCCAGGCTGGAACATAGGTCCCCTGACTCTGGCTCTCTGGGTGTTAGAACCAGCTACCTTTGGAAGTCTTGGGATTGGGGGGTGGGCCTAAGTCAGTTCCATCCTTTCTGGTTAGAGGGCTGACTACTGCTGCACGGAAGGAGTCACCTGAGAAACTGTCTCAAGTTCACCCTTGCAGGGTCAGGCGTGTGGGCTACTGATTGGAACTGATGTACCTGAGGTGTAGGACCAGACAAATCGGTGACAAGACCTCTTTCCCAGCTCCCAAGCACTGAGGGCAGGAGGCGGCGTTTGGGAGGGTTGTGTAGACAGTCCGTTCAGACGGGGATATGGAGTCCAGCATCTTTCCTGACATGAAGCAAACGCAGTTCACAAAGCTGTCCCTAAACGGACGTGATCCCCTTGACAAATCAGTTGAGGGAGCCAAGAACATCTATTACAAGTCCGCGTTGGCTCCGCCCACGGGGGGGTGGTCTGGTCAACCCGAGCTGGGAGCGGGGTAGGAGGTCCGTATGTCTAGTCTCCGCCTGGCTTCTCCGCCTTCCGCAAGTCATTTAGCCAATGAGAGAGACGGACGGCCGCCTGAGGCCGCACCCACTTTCCGGAAGTCTCGAGAAGCTAGCCAATCATTGGGAACTTCATGGTTGCCAGAAGCATTCGAGTTTGGCTCCACCCATGCTTAAAATTTTAACCAATGAAATTCTGAACTTCGGACTGTTGCCGCGAAACCAGTGAAGTTAGTTCCAGCGCCTAATGTTTTAGCGCCTGCGCAGATTGGGGAACGTCTGGAAGACAGTGCAACTACCGCCATTTTGCGGGGAGAGGAGCGGCTCCGGCTGCAGTGGGGCTTTTACTGCTGAGGCTCTGAACACAGCCGAGCTTCGCACCCTCCAACAAACCCGAAGGAGCAGAGAAGACCGGAGCCCCCCTACCCCCGCGGGGACCCGGAACTGGTGAGAAACCCTGAAACCTGGTTCCCTCGCGACGTCACCTATGCGTGACGTAGCCCCCCGGCGCTTGCCGCTGACGTCACAGGCAGAAAATGGCGTCAATAACAGAATGAGGCAAGCTTAAAGAAAAAAAAATTTTTTATCTTTGATTCGGAAGTGTTTGCTACCTGAGTGTAGTCCACTGGCAGGACTTCAGGGATCGGCACCCTCGTGGCTATATCTTAGCGAGGAAGACGCTGTGTCAAGGGTCCCAGTGACCCAAGGATCTCTGCCCAGGTCCCCGCAGCCCTTACTGGGGGGGAGCGTCGACCCACGGGGGCTTGAGAAAACGGAGGTTCGGTTTTCAGCCCCGAGTGCCACCACCACTCAGAGAGGAGAGAACTGAGATTTCTTCCTTGATCTTCAGTTTCACGAAGGCTCTTCAGTGTATTGGTCTCCGTGGGCTTTTCCCTCTTTCCTTGTATGACCACACTTTCCGTGGCGAAAGAGGAGTGTAGTGAGCCACGGATGAGGTTTCAGCATTGGGACACTGGCCCTCTCAGGGATGGTACTTATAGGACCATTTTTTTAAAAAGCGTAGCCTTCGTTTGTACACCTCGTGGGGAATGTTTTTATCTTCCTCATTCCTGTTCTTCATTAAGCTGCCTTAGTTTGGAGATGTTGGTGCCAGCTCAGTGGCCGGACCCAGGAGATGGCGCTCCCGTCGCCCCTGGGACTCGAGCCCTTGGTGAATTCGGCCCGAGCTGGGCTGACAGTGCCCCTCGCGCTCCGGTGCCCTGGCAGCAGGGGGCCTGAGCACTGGCTTGAGGCTTGGCTGTGCTGTGCCAGGATCTGAGCATTGCCCGTGATTGTGGGCCCCTCACGTAGGTTTCGGAGCAGGGATGGCAGAAAGTTCTGTAGTGTTTTCATGAGATGGTTTTAAATGGACTTTGACCAATAAATTAGGACCGGGAGAGAGTTTGAAAACGAACAGCCTGAATACCCATGCTATTTGGGACTGTAATGCTTTTAGGACACCCGAAAGCTGTACTAAACCCAGCGAGATGACAAGTTTCAAAATGTGCTCATGTTGTACATGTCTGTGCCTAAATCAGTTCGTTCATTTGTTTCTGAGTCAGGGTGAAAATTGTACTCCATCACTGGGGGCTCACGTATCAGCTTCAGTGAAAGATTTTGTGTGTAGGGTTACCCCTACCCTGCACTCGCACTCAACGATTCTTGAAATCCGAAGCATTTCATTTAGGGAGGAAAAAGCAGATTGTAAATGATAAAGAGGAACTTTGTGACACTTAGAAAATTTGTGTAGACTTGGCAGCCAAAATGACTGAAAGGAACAGTTTGAGGATTAAAAACTTTTCCTTTTAGAACCATTTTTCCAGAATAGATCAGATAGTATATATTATAATTAGCCTGGTTCTTGGTATTTTGAAACATATACAATAAGGTATAGCTAATGGGACTGACTCTATTGATAAACCCATTGGGACATTAATTCTCCAGATAAGTACATTTAAAAATAGACATCATGATATACTTTGTAATTTTCTTTTTTTAAATTTTCTTTTAAGTTAAAACCATGAGAGAGAGCGAACCAATATAGTGGATAGAACATTAGACTAGGGTCAGAAGACTTTACTCACAAGTCAGCTCCTCCATTTGAATTTTGTGACTTTGGACAGTTCACAAAACCTCAGATTTTCATCTGTGCATTGGAACTGATAGCTGGCTGTAGCATATATTACCTTTGATTGTTAAATAATGTAAGGTGTTGTTATTATAAGAGATTGTGTTCACTGGATTTTAGACACACCTATTTGATTTTGGTTTAATTTCCAATTTAAGCTTTAAATTTGTTTAAGAGCAATTTATTTATTTATTTATTTAAAATATATTTTATTGATTTTTTACAGAGAGGAAGGGAGAGAGATAGAGAGTTAAAACATCAATCAGCTGCCTCCTGCACATCTCCTACTGGGGATGTGCCTGCAACCCAGGTACATGCCCTTGACCGGAATCAAACCTGGGACCTTTCAGTCCACAGGCCGACGCTCTATCCACTGAGCCAAACCGGTTTTGGCTGTTTAAGAGCAATTTTTATTGTTTTACTCTTTCCAAGAATTCTGTCTCTATAACATGCCTAGCAATATTCAGTACTATAAATGATAAGTGCCATTTATATTACATCATCATTACTCTTATTTTCATATTACTTTATATTACTTTTATATTTACATATAATTTTTATATTACTCTATTAAACCATCAGATAGACTATGGGTTCTGAGGGCAACAAGGACAGCATCGTTGGATGATGCATTAGCTACTTTAAAGAAGACAACGCTCTTATGGATATGGAAAGTTTGATTATGATTAACCTTAGCATAGATTCTTAAGATTAGTTGGAGGGGGTTTTGCTTTATTGAGGTATAGTTGATATATAAAATTACACACATTAAAGCATACAGTTTGATGGGTTTTGATATGTTTCAGCCATGAAACATCACCCCAAAACTTTCCTGGGCCCTTTTGTAATCCTTTCCTCCTAGCCCCTCCCCACCTACTCTTATCCCTAGGCAACCACTGATCTGCTTTCTGTCACTACAGGTTAGTTTGCATTTTCTAGAATTTTGTATAAATGTAATCATACAGCCCTGACTGGTTTGGCTCCGTGGATAGAGCATCGGCCTGTGGACTGGGAGGGTCCCAGGTTCGATTCCGGTCGGGGGCATGTGCCTTGGTTGTGGGCACATCCCCAGTGAGGGGTGTGCAGGAGGCAGCTGGTCGATGTTTCTAACTCTCTATCCCTCTCCCTTTCTCTCTGTAAAAATCAATAAAATATATTTTTAAAAAAATTAAATGTAATCATACAATACATACTCTTTTTTGTTTGATTTCTTTCACTTACCATAATTATTTTGAGATTTATCTATGTTGTGTATATTGATAATTTCAGACTAGTAATTTTTGAATAAGTTTTCCTATTGATTTTGTTTGGTATCTTCTGTATTTCTTATTTAAGAGACCTGTGGTGGACACACTTAGGAAAGATGATTGCTAGATGTGAAAGCTTGGGGGAGCGAGAAGTCCCACCCTGCCTGCCTAGACAGAAAGGCTTCACAGTGGAATTGGTTAAGCTTGTCTTAATCATATCTTTCTGAGTTATCTAAACTAGTTTTTGTTTTATGAAAAATGCTTAATGCTCAGTTATCTAATTATTGATGTTTGGGAGGGGGATATGGGAAATAATTTAGGGCAAATCTGCATTCTGGTGTTGCTTTGTATTCTCATTTTTAGTCTTGCATCTATCTTTTTATTGGGAATATGTGCTTATTTCTATGTTTTAAAGTTAAACCAGTTATTTATTCAGAATTTTGAACAGTAGAATGGAGGCCTAGTGCTTGTTCATTGTAAAGTAAATAGTAACTTTGAATACCAACACTTTCTTTTCACAGGATAGGACACGGTCTGTATTATTTTGTCTCTACCCAGTTTCCTTGTAGACCCTTCACCTATTCTAAGTCATCAAGCAGAAATAGTTCAGATCTGTAAGGTGCAAAAATAAACCTAGGGTAAGCAAATAGCTGATACGATTCCTTTGGAGTTTATGAAACAGAACTGTGTCCTAAAGTCTGTTTCTTGGAGGGGGAAGGGAATGTGGTGTGCTGAAAGGGAAGGAAACATATTAATGAGGTTCTTGTGTATTGATATCCTCTCCTCAGATCTGCTGTGATGGCATCCGATGACTTTGATATAGTGATTGAGGCCATGCTGGAGGCTCCCTATAAAAAAGAGGAGGTAATATTCCCACCTCACTCCTGGGTTGGTAAGAAAAAGCAATTGTGGATCATTGGTCTCAACATTTTGTGAATTCTCTTTCTCTGCTTGTTTATTGTGTACAATGGCTATTCATAAAAGACATAGGCCCTAACCTCTTTGGCTCAGTGGATAGAGCATCGGCCTGCGGACTGAAGGGTCCCAGGTTTGATTCCGGTCAAGGGCATGTACCTTGGTTGCAGGCACATCCCCAGTGGGCAGCTGATCAATGTTTCTCTCTCATCGATGTTTCTAACTCTCTATCCCTCTCCCTTCCCTCTCCCTTCCCTCTCCCTTCTCTGTAAAATAATCAATAAAATATATTTAAAAAAAAAAAAAAGACATAGTCATTTAGTAAGCTATTCTGGAGATCAGTACTCAAGGGCCATGCTTTCAGAGTGGGCCCCCTAAAATGGAGGGGGGGGACAAAGGAGGTAGGAATGGGTACTTTGCTCATAGTTCTCAATGGTACGGTAGAAAGTCAGACCTATACCTCAGACCTAACTGACTTCTCATTCTCCTGAGAAATAGATGTTGAGTAGCTAAAGTTTTAACATCAAAAACTGTCCCTCTGATCTCTTCCTTTTGGGTAGTTTTCCTCCCTTTCTCTCTTCATTTATTTTGTTAGGAGGTCCAGGTGTTTAAAACTTGGCTAGATAATTGAGAGCTTTGATTTCATATGCTTTTTTCTTGTCCACTTTTGTTCTTTCTGTGCCCAATGGATTCTATGTGTCTGCCACGTTGAACCTTGTGACATTTTTCTGGTGAACCCTTCAGGGTGAGCAGCAACGGAAGGAGGTTAAAAAGGACGGCCCTAGCAACACCAGCAACAGCACCAGCAACAGTGGCAGTGGGAGCAGCACCAGTGTGGAGGCAAGCAAGTGAGTGTGGTGTGAGGAAATGGGTTGGCAACTTAGGAAGGGAAGCAATCTTGTCCATTGGAGAAACAGCAAGAACAGAGAGATACAATGGACACAGACAACGGGGGTGTGACGGCATGAGTGGGGGGAAGGGCGGGCAATGGGGGGATAAGGACACGTAATACCTTAATCAATAAAGAACTTTTTAAAAAAAGAACAGGTAGGTAATTGCTTCTAAGACAGCTTTTAGAATGGCTTCACTGGATCTTGGGCATAACGGTGACTTAGTTTAATGATGTAGTTTAAGCTTTCAGTGTAGATTTGTGGATCAGTCCCAGCATTGATATATTTCATTTGAGTAAAATAGCAAGAAGACTCCTACTTTGGAAACACCAGCTTTCGCTGCATCAGATGCCTGACAGCATCCAGGGCTGTGTATGAGTTGGTGTGCAGTTGCTGTGAGCTACTGCCAGATCATCTGGACTTTGGTCCTTTATTGCTTTCTTTTTCACCCCAGCCATACTCTCATTTCTTTTATGTGGGAGAGATCATGAAACCTTCGCAATAATAAGAATTTACACTGTCTTTCACAGGAAGAAGAGTCGGAGCCATAGTAAAAGCAGGGATAGAAAGCGCAGGTCAGTTATTCTGGGGGCTGTTGGGTTTTGAGAATTACTACAAATGGAAAGATACCAGGGAAAGCTATACATTAAAGGCCAGAAGAGGTTGGTTGGTTCTTTAACAAACTAAATAGTTGTTTCCATCTACAGTCGTAGTCGAGACCGGGATCGGCATAGACGGAGAAGTAGTCGGAGCCGAAGTCGAGATCGGCAGCATCGTCACCACAGCCAAAGCTGGGATCATCAACATAGTAGTGAGTCCAGAAGTCGGGCCCCACGTCGTGAGAATCGTGTGCACTACAGGAGTCCACCACTTGCCGCTGGGTATCACCTTTTGCTAATAAGCTCACCTTTGTATCGTAATCTGGGTAAAACGATTTTGCTGTGGTCCCTGCCTGAGGATGCTTATGCCCCTCTGTGATAGGGAGGAGATCCAGTTATTGCAGGGGTGGCACTGAGAATTCACATGTCACCCTGGCTGGGTGACTTAGTAGTTTGGAATTTTGTCCTGTATACCAAAAGGTGGATTCAATCCTGGCCCGGGTGGGTACAAGAGCCAACTACTTGATGTTTCTCTCTCCCCCTCTCTCCCTCCCTCCCTACCCGCTAACTCCCCTTTATCTTTCTCTAAAAAGAAAAAATAGCCCTGCCTGGTGTGGCTCAGTTGGTTAGAGCATTGTCCCATACACAGAAAGGTCACAGGTTCAATTCCTGATCAGGGTACATACCCAGGTTGTGGATTCCATCCCTGGTCAGAGTGCGTGTGAGACGCAGCTGATTGATGTTTCTCTCTCACATTGATTTCTCTCTCTTCCTCTTTCTCTCTCTTTAAAATCAATAAAACCGTGTCCTCAGGTTTTTAAAAATTCAATTTAAAAAAAATCCTTGGGCAAGGATTTAAAAAAAAAAAATTCGCCCTAGCTGGTTTGGCTCAGTGGAGAAAGTGTCGGCCTGTGGACTGAAGGCTCCTGGGTTTGATTCCGGTCAAGGGCACATGCCTGGGTTGCGGGCTCAATCCCCAGTGGAGGGCGTGCAGAAGGCAGCTGATTGGTGATTTTCTCTCATCATTGATCTTTCTCTCCCTCTCCCTTCCTCTCCGAAATCAATAAAAATATATATATTTTTAAAAGTAAAAAAAAAAAAATTTCATGTGTGAGAAGAGGTGATGAATGGGATCTGGTTTTCCCATGATGGCAGACTCAGCATTGGTTCAATGTGAATAAAGTTGGGTGATACAATTTACACTTTTTTTTTCTCTATTCCTTAGGCATAGGTATGGACACAGTAAGAGTCCTCATTTCAGAGAGAAGAGTCCAGTCAGGTAAGTTAATGATGAGCACTTCTTTAGGAGTTGTGTGGTATGAATAAAAAGCTCTTTGAGCCCTGACTGGTTTGCTCAGTGGATGGAGCGTCGGCCTGCAGACTGGGGGGTTCCAGGTTCGATTCCGGTCAAGGGCATGTACCTTGGTTGTGGGCACATCCCCAGTGGGGAGTGTGCAGGAGGCAGCTGATCGATGTTTCTAACTCTCTATCCCTCTCCCTTTCTCTCTGTAAAATATCAATAAAATATTTTTTAAAAAATAAAAATAAATAAAAAGCTCTTTGAGCCAAACTTTAGGAATGGGTGGTACTTGAGAGTAGCTGGAAAACAAAGACCAAGTATTGGGTGGAGGGGGGGGTCTTAGTAAATTTTACTTTTTAGGGAGTCAATTGATAATCTGAGTCCCGAGGAGCGTGATGCCCGCACAGTTTTCTGTATGCAGTTAGCCGCCCGCATTCGGCCTCGAGACCTGGAGGACTTTTTCTCTGCTATTGGCAAGGTAACATTTCCCCTTTTAGTTTCCTTCTTAGTACTCTTATCTTTTATCCATCCCCTTCTATACCTAACTTAGGATTTCCTTTTTCCCCTGGATAGGTTCGTGATGTACGTATCATCTCAGATCGGAACTCACGTCGTTCTAAGGGCATTGCCTATGTGGAATTCTGTGAAATCCAGTCTGTGCCACTGGCCATTGCGTTGACAGGGCAGCGACTGCTGGGGGTGCCTATCATTGTACAGGCCTCACAGGTGAGCAGGCTGAGAAACTGATAGGAGAAAACAGCTTTGAAGGTAGCAGGTGTGGGACTTGACCCATCATTCCCTCCTTCCTCAGGCTGAGAAAAACCGACTGGCAGCCATGGCCAACAACCTGCAGAAAGGCAGTGGTGGACCAATGCGCCTCTGTGTGGGCTCCCTGCACTGCAACATTACCGAGGACATGCTCCGGGGCATCTTTGAGCCCTTTGGCAAAGTGAGTAGAAAGTGAGGAAAACCTCTGAGGGGAATTGGAAAAAGTGGGGAGGGTGAGTGTTCCTCTTCATTCTGCCTGACCATGATTAACCCACAGCATACATAGTAATGGGCATATGGGTCCATGCTTGGACAATTAGGCTCCATCTCTGTTCAGTAGACAAATGAGTCAGCACCATGAAATCAAGGTCCAGGTTAAGTAAGATTAGTCAGAAAGGTTGTTTATGGCGGGGGAATGGCCTTTGTCTCTTTTTTAAAGGATTTGGAGAAATGTAGAAACTGGGAGATATTTAGAATAGTCTGGGTAGGAAGGGTCAAAGGTGTGACTTAGCCAAAAGATTATTAATAATTTCTCCCTATTCTACAGATTGATAATATTGTCCTGATGAAGGACTCAGATACAGGCCGCTCTAAAGGTTATGGTTTCATTACGGTAAGTCTCTAGTCTTTATTTATTTTAATTTGGGTTTGTCTACGTGTCTGATTTTGCAGTTTAGCTTCATCCTCCTCCTTTAGGAACTGTCTAAGTCAGCAGTCGCCAACCGGTGGTCCACGGACCACTGGTCTGTGAGGTCCAAAAGGTTGGTGACCACTGGTTTAAGGAAACATTTGGAACAGCAGTTGCTAACCGGTGGTCTGCAGACCACTGGTGGTCCGTGAGGTCCGAAAAGCTGTCGACTGCTGGTCTAAATGACCCATAAACCCTGGTGCTGAACCTTGGACTACTAGCCTTCTGCCCCTTGAGATGAGTGCCTTGTTTGAGATCTTGGCTTTTTTCCTATACTCTGTCAGTGTATGGGGGTGTCCAGGAGTTCTGCCACCTTCCCTGGGGCTGCAACGTGCTCTTTGGGTAATAGTTATGGTTCCAGGCTTCAACTAAAAGGTTGGGGGTATGAGGGAGGTTAGGTATGAGCTTTTATAGACATGCTTTATAGAATTGACATATTTTCACGATGGGGTGGGAATCGGAAGTTATATACTTCCCTCTTGTGCTACCCTGTTTGAAGTAGGTTTTTCCATTGAGAAGTATCTTTATATTTAAATCCCACTATAGGGAGAATAGGGAGGCCACCTAATAGTGGTCAGGTCTCATCTTTTCCTGACACTCCAACAAAATTGTTTCCAATTCCCATAACTGGTTCTTCTAGCCCCATGTGACTCCAGGCTGAGGACTGGCTGCCAGCCACAAAGTCTGATAGAAGCTGATATTTTCTGGGCTCAATCCAGGCAACATACACCCCACAGTTACCTGCAGGGCAGAGGGGAGGTAGGTTGTGTTCTATCATGGCAATTGCTTACCTCAAAAGTATCCAGTAAAGGCAGGCCACCTATACCACATGCCTAGGAACTGTCAGTACCACATGCCAGGCCCTAGGGCAGGTAATACCAGAGTAAACAAAGCCAGCTGTGGCATTCGTGGTAGCAAGTATCTTTTCTAGCTCCCTGTGTGACTCAGATTTGGAAAGGCTGCTATGGGGCCTTTTTGCCCTTTTGTTGCTGCATTTAGGTCAACACCCTTGACTCTTTAAACAGAAGACTGGGAATCCTCTTTATGCCAGGCTGCTGCTGATGAAAGGGATGAGAGAGTTGAGATCCTGTGGTCAGTGGGTTACTGAGTCAGCAGTCCTCTGGTGGAGGCTGGGTGCAGTTTTCCTTTCAATACCAGGATGTATTGCTTCCTAAGGCTGGGCTCTGGAGGCCCAGATTCCTTCTCTTAACTGAGAATTTAAACTTACTAGTCGTAAAGGCTCAAATAAAGCCTCAGGAGTCTTAGCTCTCAGTCTGTCTGTCTTCCGTTTTTATATCCCCATTTGTGAGACAGCCTGTCAGGCTAGGCTCCCTACAGATAATAGACTTTACATTATTAGATTTTTAGTGGAGCTCAGAGATTGAAATCAGTTGGAAAAGTCCCTTTCAGAGATCAATTTTAGGGGGATCTGAGGTCACATTCCCTGAGAAAGAAAAGTTTGTGCCACAGCAACCATGCAAGTTTCCTGGGATAGTAGGACTGGGAGTGTTAGTGGGGCTTTGAGGGCGTATCTCTGGCCGAGAGGTGACTGATAATGGCCTGGGTTTCTTGTAGTTCTCTGACTCTGAGTGTGCCCGACGGGCCCTGGAACAGTTGAATGGCTTTGAGCTTGCTGGTCGACCTATGAGAGTTGGCCATTTGACTGAGCGACTGGATGGTGGCACAGACATCACTTTTCCTGATGGAGACCAGGAGCTGAATCTGGGATCAGCGGGTGGACGTTTGCAGCTCATGGCCAAATTGGCAGAAGGTAGTTACTCTTCAGAGTGAAAAACATGGGGTTGAATTGTAGATTGAGGGTTGGGACTTAACCCCACTTTTTCTTTACCTTTTAGGCTCTGGAATCCAGCTGCCAACCACAGCCGCTGCTGCCGCCGCCGTTGCCCAAGCTGCTGCTTTGCAGCTGAATGGAGCAGTTCACTTGGGGGCCCTAAACCCAGCAGCTCTGACTGGTAGACGTGGACTTGGGAAAGGGATAGATGGGCTGGGCCTGGGAAGAAGGAATGCTCTGTGCTCACTGACTCACTTTGCCTCTTCTCTCTGTTCTAGCTCTGAGTCCAGCCCTGAACCTTGCCTCTCAGGCAATTGCCTCCCAGTGCTTCCAGCTTTCCAGCCTTTTTACCCCCCAGACCATGTGAGTCGCAGGACCTCATTCATTTTAGACTCTGGTTGTTTTCTTTCGTTTTACTTCCATTTATCTCTTCTCTTTGCCCCAAGTAAATCAGTGGCATAGTGCATTGCCTCCCTATGCCTCTGGGTCCTGCCACTCCCTTCATATCTGCCATTCTACGGCCCCTTCTATCCATTTTGTGGATCAAGCCATCCTGAAGCCATGGACATTAACTCGGGGGGAGTTGGGGTCACCCGTAGACACCAAGAAGAGCTCCTGCCCATGGACCCACTGGGAATGGACTCTGCTGAGCAACCACTAGTTGAAGAGAAGAGAATTATTGAACACCTGTTTGTCCGTGTATACCATCTCCTGGGATGGTCTTCATTGCCCTTTCCAACCACCTCTCAGTGATTCCTCCATTCCTCCTCTGTTGAGAAGGCTTTAGGGCATTAACTGAAGGGACTGATTTCTTTTTGTCCCCTATACCTGTACCCTACAATTTTGTCAAGGAAAAACCCTTAAGCCCTCTGGTCCAAGAGGATTTTTCAGTTTGGGGTCTGAACCTTGAAGGTGCTGGCTTGATGCTACAAGGGCCCTGGAAGATAGCTTGGACATGTATGTGCATTGTAAAGCCTGCCTTAGACCTCAGTTTGGGGCCAGAACTACTGTGGGCTCTGCAGTTTGCTGGGAGCTATAGAAATGATCTATCCTGCCAGGTATTTTGGATGTCTTAGGGGCATTCAAGAGTTTAGTGAAAGATGGGGTACCTTTCCAGTATCTTCCATCTTCTTTTGTATAGTTAGTTGTCCTTCCTCCGGTCCAGGAAGGGAGGATGGTGGAGAGGCTGCTACTCTCCACTACTTCCGACGTGCCTCTACTGTGGGCTCCACCCCAGTGCTAAAGCCACTCCTGTCCCCTACTTGGGCACATGTGAGCCCTTCCCACCGGACTTTATATCCTTGAGTCTGTGTACATAAACAATATATATATATAAACTTTGTACAAAAGGCAAGCCTTGCTGTTGTGGCTGCTGCCCATGTGTGTAGTCTCAGTTGTGTCTGATGTTAACTTCTAATGAGCCAAAACCATGAGTGGTTGTAGGAATATAAAACAATGCCATTGTGTTTTCTTTATTTTAATGGTATCTAACCTTTAGAAATAAACAGTACAAAAGGTGCATACCTGTATTCAGATACACTGTCTGTATCTGCATTATACTTTCTGCCCCTCGGTCTCCTATCTGCCTTCATGTTAACTATCTCCAAACCTGCCTGCCAACTGGACAGACTGCCAGGCTCTGTCTCTGCCCAAGGACAGATCTTGTCTTTCCACCAGATGGCAGTGTGACATCCTGCACCTTTCTTTAGTGTTGTATGATCTGGAGCAGCGGGAGCCAACCTTTTGGGCGCCAACCTTTCGGACCTCACGGACCACCAGTGGTCCACGGACTACTGGTTGGCGACCGCTGATCTGGAGGACTTAAATATCAGAGAAGTCTTCCAAGCTCAACATTCTTACCATTGGCCTCCATACTGCCTTTAGCCCTTTTTGTAGTAGGAATCCCAGTCCAATATCCAAAGGGATTTGGGCATCATACATCAGCACTCTTCAGGCCATAAGCCTTCTATTCTCCCAGTCACCTCAACTCTTGCTTTTCAGATATATAGCTCTGCCTGGGACAACACTGGCCTGGGACCAGTGACTTCCAGGGAGCTGAGTATTCCAGGAATGGCCCTGCCAAAAGGGTGGTTCCCCTTCCTCTGCCCCCTTTATAAGGCTTGTAACAGACAACTGAGTCAGAGCCTGGCTTACCAGCTAGAAATCAGCCAAGAGGAGGAGGTCTGAGGTTCAGGGGCAGGGCTGTGGGGCTCCTTCATTCTTTACTGGTCTCTATGGCAACAGAGTGTTAAGACTTTATTATCTTGCTAAAAATATGGATAATTGCTGTTAAGTTTTAATTTGTCAGCTCTCAGACTTCTAAAGCAGAGTGATGGTTTTCTGGTGATGTTTACTTCTGGGGTTGCTTTTAACACAAGTATTAAGTACTTGAAGCCTGTTTGTGGTATAAAAGACCAGTGGGACCCAGGACTAGCTCTTGGTTCTTCTAGGCTGCTGCAGTCTTTCTGCTTCTGTTTTGCTGCCACCCCCACCCCTTCCCTAGTTTGCTTTCTGAACCTGGGGGAAGGGAAGGAGGATGCATTATTTTTAGGTAGGAGCAGCTGGCTATGGCCCAGTCCCCCTATAGTTATTGATTTGCTGCTAATGCATCCTGAGAAGCACAGCGCAGACCATTTTTGTTCGTCATCCTGAAGCTATGGACCAGGCCTCCTCATGGCAGTCTCTAACTCCTGCAGAACTATAAATACCCACAGGCCTCACCTCCCTGCCCTCCTCAGATGGACCCCCATCTGCTTGTTGTTTTTTGCTGTTGGTTTTGTTGTTAATCCTCACCTGAGGATATTTTTCCATTGATTTTTTTTAATTGTCTGAGTTTTATTGAAGACTGTCCAGTTGTGAGGCAGAAGGAAAACTGAACACAAGTTAGTTTTGTTGCTGTTTTTAAATCCTTTGATTCTTTGTAAAGGGCCTCTGTGATGCCACTGTTCCAGAATCAGTGGCTCCTCTGTCTTTACTTGTGCTGCTCCCTCAGCCTGAAATGCCTGTCCCCTTCCTCCCCATCGGTCAGACATCCTTCTGACTCAGCTTAGAATGTGACTCTTCCAAGAAGCCTCCAGCTTCCTGCAAGTTCATCTCATCTTTGTCCTACTCACCCTTGTCTTTTTCTCCATTGATGTTTAGGGAGAATGGAAGGGGGGAGGGGGGGGGGAGAAACATTGATTGGTTGCCTCCTGCCTGCACCTGACCAGGACTGAGGATCGAGCCTGCAACCGAGGTACATGCTCCTGACCAGAATCAAATCTGGGGCCCTTCAGTCTGCAGGCCGACACTAGTCACTGAGCCAGTTGGCTAGTGTTTCTTTATATTCCTATTCCTAACAACTTTGGGCTTCCTGCACGTTGGCTCCTTTAGTTCAGTTCTTCCTGGCCTCCTGGTCTTGCCTCATACATCCTCCTGCTGGGAGAGAGACAATGGTGGAAGTGAAGAAACACTGCTTCTCTAGTCTTAACCTATGTAAGGTGACGAGTGGGTGACAGCCGTGTCACTGTGTGTGACTCAGTGCCTAGTCATTCCTCTGTTGGGAGTGGTTGGAGTGGAGAAAAGGGGGCAGTAAACAGCCTCTCTGGGCCCAGCGAAAGGTAAACGAAACCTCCCTCAACCTCTCCTGCCCGAGCATGGTGGCCAGGATGAGGGGAGAGGGGACACTGACCAGGAGTCTTTCCCAGCATAGTTGGAATTTCCCCCACCAGTTCTCAATTCATAATGTGATTTTCACCTGACTTTTGGCTTATCCAGCCTATGCTTTTGTCTTCTCTAAGGCAGTGGCATTTCTTCCTCCTCCTTTAAATTGCTGTGTTCTTGACATTGGGATTCAGGAAGTAATACTTGGACAGTTAGAAGAGTGTACCTTGGCTCTGAAAAGAGGTGGTAGGAGGTGATAAGGTAACATTTATGCAGGATTTGTTTTGGGTTAGGCAATGTACCCACTATGTATATTGAATCATTTCATCCTCTAGTGACCCTCTGAGGTAGATTCTTTTATCTTTATGTTGTAAATAAGGAAACTGATACCCAAAGAGGTTAAATAATTTGCCCCACAATTACAAAGTTACCAAGTTTAGGATTTCGGTCCAGGCAGTCTAGCTTCAGATCCCTTGATCTTCATCCTAACCTGCTTCAGCACCACTGTGGAAGCCAAGGCCTTGGAGTCATGGGGAAGTCTCACCTTTTCTGTCTCTATACCTAGTTCGCAGTATATCCTGAAAATTTCCACTCCATGTCTGCTCATTTTCTTTCTTCCTGCCCTTCTGCTTGTCAAAATCTAGTCCTTTAAGACTCTGAAACTTTCCTAGATGGAACTGAATTCCCTTTTTAGTATTCTTTGTCCCATTACAGGTCTTATTCTGCCTTAATTTACAGTTCTTTGTATACTCTTATTAATAGATGGTTATGGCTGAATGAGACCAGTCATAGACGTGTCCTTTTCATTAGTGCTTTGCCTGCACATATTACACATCTGTTGAATTAAGTCCCTCCCTGCTCATGTGGGAGCCAGGCTTTCTAAAGGCTGTCCCTTCCAGCCTGCCTTCCTGGCAGCTTCATCTATTCCTTCCTCACCCCTTCAAGTGAGGAGGCAACTTTACTCTCTTTAGTGTTACCATGGTAGCCTGTGATGCTTTCTGTCTAAAATGCTCTTGCCATACACCAGAGACTGATATTTCCATGGCAACCAGGTGAAATCTATAGTTATGAGCTGGATGGAGGAAAGGAATTCTGAAGTCTGAGAAACTGTGGGTCTGAATCTTCTAACTTCAAACATCATCCTCCCTCCCAACTTTTGCACTCTGTGTCCAGAACTGATTTGCTCTGCTCTTGGTCGAGAGAGCTTTGTGTGAGGTGAAGCAGATCAGCCAGCTTAGGTCATGTGGGAAGGGGGAGACAAGGAAAGAGCTGATCAAAGATCACTTTAAAAGTTGGATGACCCAGTGGGGAGTGTGCAGAAGGCAGCTGATCGAAGCTTCTCTCTCATCGATGTTTCTAACTCTCTATCCCTCTCCCTTCCTCTCTGTAAAAAATCAAAAAAAAAAAAAAAAAAAAAAAAAGTTGGATGAGTTCTGTTAGTTCCCTCAGATGATCTGCTTTCAAGAGACCTTATGGAGTTGACTGGAGTTACTGGAGAGTCATTAAGCAGTTATTTTTGAGGGCAATGGATAGATATGGATGAGGTGCCTGAAACTGGAAAGGAGCCAGTCAGTGCTGGATTGTAGAGGTGGAAACGATGATGGAAATCAGAGACTTATCAAACTCGTGCCAGTGTTCCAGAAAGGATGGGAGTTTCAATTAACTTTCAAGCATCATGGTGCCTATGTGTTTAGAATATGTGGTACTGAGAATTAGCCTCCTTCTCTCAATTCTTGGGCCAAACCAACCCAGGGGACCTCCAACCTGTAACAAATTGGTCACACTCTGGAGCAACACTGCCTGATCTCTTGTGTCTCAAACCAGCTGAGTGAGCTTGGATGTTACTTTACTTCTCTAACTCCAACTCTACATAATCAGATTATGGCCAGATGGCTTTGAAAACTCATTTGCAATATATTAATAACAACAGTACCTATTTTAGGGTTGTGAGGATTAAATGAAATGATCTCTGTAGGGGGCTTAGAACTTGTTAGCTTGTCATTACTACTGCCATCATTTTCCCCATTCATCTGTATGCCTACACACTTGACTTCCTGCCTGACCTCACTCTCCTCCCCAACTTCAGAGAATGCTCAAGATTTACAGAGAGGAGAGAAGAGGAAGGGACCATGATGAAAATAAACCTTAATTGTTCCTGTGCTAAAAGTCCCAGGCTTACAAGGTCCTGGGTCACATGCAGCCAGCCTAACTTTCAGGAAAACAGATCCCACTGTCCAATCTTTTTTATGCCTGAAACTGTCTAATCAGATTAGGGCAGATGGCTTTGAAAAATCAAGATGAGCCCCCCCCCCATCCCTCCCTCCCCCTCACCCCAGGTGCCTTCAGGGTACCTAGTGCTCTTTGCTTTTTCTGGCAGTAACTGTTAGAGCCCTAACCTCCCAAGCATTCCTGTAGCACCTGCTGTTAGTCTCCAGAACCTAGCCCTGCTATGGCAATTTCCTTTCAGAATAAGTATTTTATTTTTTAAATATATTTTATTGATTTTTTACAGAGAGGAAGGGAGAGAGAGAGCCAGAAACATCGACGAGAGAGAAACATCGATCAGCTGCCTCCTGCACACTCCCCATTGGAGATGTGCCCACAACCAAGGCACATGCCCCTAACCGGAATAGAACCTGGGACCCCTCAGTCCACAGGCCGACGCTCTATCCACTGAGCCAAACCGGTTATGGCCAGAATAAGTATTTTAAATCACAGGTTCTCTGCCTAAAGACCAGTTGTCATTTGAACAAAAAATGGAAAACTGTGTAGTATAACACCATCACGTAGGCTTTAGATGTCAATCTTTTCCCCAGTCCTCCCTAAAATAACAAGTCCAATAATGGCTCACCTGTGAGTCCTGTATGAGGTATGTTGGACCTTGCAGACCACAAC